GCTTGTTGCAGAGTCTACGAGTTCGACAATTGCAAGTGTTGGCTGCCTGTGGGTCCCATGGTGAGCTCTTAGGAATTGCATGAGCCGTGTGATTGCTTAGCCTTTGTTTGGTGGCACGTGGATGCTGCGGCTGTTGACCCACACAACCTGTGCGCAAGGAGGCGAGGTGCTTCCCAAAGCTTCCGCAGCTGGCATGGTCCCTGCCAAGTTCCAGCGGCTCGGCCACGTCGACTCTCTTTAAGTGCAGAAGTGCAAAAGGTGAACATTGGGGCGGGCTTTTGAATGAGGAGATGTCCGCAGCTGAGGGTCGCGTCGAGCACACCAAAGCCGCTCATCATCCCAAAGCCGCTGCTCACCCCCAAGCCTGCATTTGGCACGCCGAAGCCGATGGTTTCACAGCCAGCCGCATTTTCTGGCAGCTTGCTGAGGATTTCGGAAGAATTTCCGTAGCTTATTCTGTCATAGCGAATCATGATCATAGCCTCGTCCCCGCTGTTGCTGAGGCAGCGTGATACCGCCGAAGATGCAGATCGCAGGTGGTGGTCCAAAGCCTCCATCTGTCACGCCTCCGCACGCTTTGATGCAGATGCCAAAGCAGCCAGGGGTCATTCCACCAAAGGTTGCCGGAAGTGCTTTGCCAGCCAAGCCCCTGGCCATAGATGAAGGAGGATGGGCGAACGGCAACGGATGGGGTTCCAGCTGGGATGATTGGAATTCCACTGGTTGGGGCAAGGGGAAGGATGGGAAAGGCAAGCGAGGTAAGGGCAAAGGCAAAGGCGATGACTTGGAAGTCGTTGTTAAAGGGCTGCCCTCGAGCACTGATGAAGCCAGCTTGCAGGCGTACTTTGCGTCATGCGGAGAGATCACTCGTGTCAGCATCCCTCGTGCAAAAGATGGGTTGCCGAAAGGCGCAGCCTTTGTTGGCTTCACCACCCAAGAAGGTGTGAACAAGGCCTTGCTTCACGATAAGACCCTCTACTTGGGCAGCATATGCATTTCTGTTCGGCCCTCCAGTGAGAAGCACGAGGGCAGAGGGAAGAAACGAAGCAATGATGATCTGACCGTTGTCATCAAGGGATTCCCCGACCATACGGATGAAGCATCCCTGACCGCGTTCTTTGCATCGTGCGGCGAGATTGTGCGGGTCAACTTGCCCCGCAACAAGCATGATGGCAAACTAAAGGCTGCAGGATTCATAGAGTTCAAGACGCAGGAGGGTTTCAACACCGCTCCTTGCAACGTTTTGCAATGTTTCTTTTGTTGTGGGCGTTAAAGCGAACATTCATGCAAGTTTTTCAAAAAAAGTTTTTCCTGATGTTACTTCAAATTCTTGAGGCTCTTACGTGCGACGGCTCCTTGTATATGGGCGCCCCGATTCGGGTCAAGCATGCTGCGGACAAGGACAAAGGTGGCGGCAAAGGCAAGGACAAGGAGGATGAACTCACCATCGTGGTGAAAGGTGCCGATCTGAGCCTTGCGCAGTTTCCTGTTGATGCATTTGATGCATTCGGATTCTCGGAGTGGTTTGTTGCTGCCCGGCTTTTGAAGGCTTCCCTTCGGAGACCGACGAGGAGATGCTGAGGAATGCCTTTTCCGTATGCGGGGAGATCGTCCGCCTGAACTTGCCTCGTGGGGCGGATGGCATGCCTAAAGGCGAGGCCGTTTCAGGAGGGAACCGGTCTGGGGTGAGTTGCATCCAGGGGCCCATCGCCAGGCACAGCATTTATCCAGTTCCAGACGGAGGACATGTTGCAGAGGCCAAGCCGATATGATATGACAGTGTCAGCTTGCGCGCTTGGCACCCGAGTTTGATGCAGCACCGCCACGGCTGTTGGCAAGATCAAAGTGCCAGCCGCTGCAGGGCAACAGAGCTCGACGGATCGGACGTTTTCGGCACAGGCAAAATCAGCGACTTGGCTGCAACGTCTTCTCATGTCGCGCTCTCTTATGCAATTGCAGTGCGCAGGCTCAAGCCTAGATGTTCGTTTTGCTTTGGGGCTGACCCACGCACTGTCCCAGAACAAACGTGCTGTCAGCCTTTGCCAGGTGTGCATCGTGCCACAGAGAAGGTCAAGAGAGAAAAGAATGACGACCACACAGTGGAGACTTGCCGAGCTATGCGTGAGACGCGATACATGTAGAGATCGCTAGGTCGGCGCGCCGTGGCTTCTGTTTTGCTCGGGAACTTTCATGGCCACAGCGAATGACCTGAACATGTTAGCTTAATGGCAGCTGTCCATTGCAAAGGGGGGAGGGGAGGTTGCTTTGCTCATGGCAACTGCATCGCCGTGATATTCCTAACGCTGATTTGACTGAGGTGGTCCGTGGCCTCCCTGACTGGCTGAGCGAAAAGCAGCTCAAAGACGACTTTGCAACCTGTGGCTTCTTGAAGCGAGCATCGATGCCTACTGGCAAGGATGGCAAAGGAAAGGGATTTGCACGAGGCTCAGGAGCACATCTTGCTGCTTGCCACTTGTGAGATGCGACGCGGGCGCGTGCTGTTTGCCATCGCCGTCGTCTCGGGCTGTAGGTGGGCAGGTGAGCGAAGCACAGGCACGAAAGGGGCTTGACTCTTCGGAGGGGGGTTTTGAACTCTAGACGATGGCAACTGATTCGCAAAGGAACGAAGTTGGGGTGTCCCGAAAACCGACCCCCGCCGAACTGCTTTTGGAAAGGCTGTGATAGAAATGAACCACAGGGGGAGGTAATTACAAGGCAGCGGCAAAAGGTTGGACTTGAGGAGCTAGGGTCAGAGCGGTGGGCAGAAATGACACATGCCTTGACTGCTTCTGCAGTGTCGCAAGCTCGTGGTGGCTTGTGCTGGGGTCACCAAGGCATATGTGCAGTACAAGAACGATGAGGCGATGAAAAAAGCCCTGGAGTGGAACAATACCTGGTACAAGGGGACCAACATCACGGTCGAGAAGCTCGGTGAGGAGACAAAAGGTCGGGGGACTGCCCTAGCAGCACGCGCACGCACGCACACAAGCGTGCTGAAAGTTTGACCTAACCTCACGGTCGCGGATAGGGGATTGTGGCGGTTTCCCTAGCCCGCCTCGACTTGGGCCCATTGTGTTTGACAGGAAAAGGCCGAGGCCGACGAGGACGAGAGAAAAAAGAGAAGCTGCCAGAAGGGCCCACTGTACACGTGGGTAGCTTATCCTACGAGGCGCGATGGCTACGCAAGGGCAGTCATGCTTCATCTGCCCCATCACTGAAGTGCTTCACATTCCCTGAACTGCCGAGGTCGATGATGAGACTCTTGGCATGAAATGAACGGGAAGAGACAAGCATGGCCTGTTGCTGGTCCTCTCACCGGACATGCGGCGTCGCTTCTGGAAACGGTAGTAACGTAGGACCGAAGGCTTAAACATCGAAGCACCCTGAAGCGGCAGCTTGAGGATGCTGAAGCAGGCCTTCTCCGCCTGCGGGGAGGTGGTGGCCAGCCGAGCCGCTATTCTGACATGTCGGGATTTTTTCATCGCCCAGGCATTTCGCGTTTGTATGCGTTTCGGGCCGTGTGAGATCTTGTAGTGCATGATGCTTTGGGGATTCAGGGGTGCGTGGGCCGTGTGTCGCTAAAGGAGGCAGCGCTGCCGCTTCGGCCACAACAAATTCAGCAGTGGCTTCGACACCCCGAGTGCCAGTGTTTCACCCTCTTGTTCTGGCTCTCCACACCTGCGAAGTCTCGCCAAGGCGGAGATGCAACCCCGCGACTCACCCCACGAGCAATGCCGCCCAGCAAGCTACTGTCGGCCCAGGTCTTTGTCAGCAGCAAGGGCAAGTCCAAGGGCAAGTCCCGTGGCAGTGGCCTCCCGACTGGTACACACAGGAGATGAGGATAAAACAAAATTATCTCGGCTCTTGCAGCAATTCCGTTAGGAGAACGCAATCTCGATAAATAGACTTGATGGACCCGGAACCTGAAAAGGAGATGCTTCCAAGGCTGCAAGTTAATGTTGGGCGAGACCCGATTTTCTAGAAGGAAGTGCTGGGTGGTGAAACACTTTTCAGAAGGAGATGCCGGATGGCAAGCAGGGCCCTGTTAAGAATTCCATCGCCATGGTTTGCGGTGGTACCGGTCTCGTGTCCGCTGCGTGGATCCAGGGCGGGTAGTCACAAATATCCTAAATCTGCCAGGCCAAAGATGTGTCTCGGCTGTACTGAAACTGAAACCGAATCTGCCATTCGTAACGGATTGCTGTGGCGTTAGCCTCCTGGGCTTAGAGCTGGTGTGTATAGCGGAGCATCATGCCAACTGCAGGGTGAGGGGGTCTGGCTGCTAGGCCAACTTACAATGGTGATTAACCCAGACAAGCTGCCACCCTTGTCGACAATCCAATCAGTGCAAGGTTTGGTTGTTTTCGCCACGGAGGAAGCCCAGAAGAAGGCAGTGGCAACAATGAATGAGGCCTGCAAAGCTGCCTAGCAAGCTTCCGGCTAGCATGTTCACGGCTAGAAGATTGACATGCGTGTTCAACACCGTCGCATAAAATTGCGAAAGATGTCGCTTTGCCTTGGACTGGGGCGTGCTCAACGGAGCCGCTTTCTACTCTTCTTGAAAACTCGTACCGCCCATCCCGCTGCAAGGTTGAGCTTGCGGGACGCAACATCACCGTACGCGAGTACACTCAGGAGGAGGAGGCCCTGGCACAGCGAGAGATCTTAGGATACAAGAATCTGAAGAAGATGTGGCTGCTGCTGCTCGCTACAATCAGTAGCCGGGCGGGCCGGCATGGGCCAGAATCTTTTGTGTAAATATCAGGCGGCTTTCTGGCATTCAGCTTGCAGCACAGGGACGGGCTGCTGCGCCCCACAACGTGTGCACCGGGCGCAGGTCAAGCTGGACTTCAGCGCGCTGGAGGGCGAAGGTGACAAGACTCTGCTGGAGGAAGAGGAGGAAGACGCCATTTGACCGAGAGGTGTCGTTTTGGGTGGCAGTGGTGCAAAATGTGCAATTTTTTGCACCTCCAAGACCCTAAGGACTGGGAGAACTTTGATTGGGACGGTGATAACGACGACGGCTCCGACGATGACGAGGAGGCAAGCCCGTGTTCTGACATGTTTCACGAACTGAGCTTTGGCAGCCGGTGCTGAGGATGACGATGATGACGAGTGGGAAGAAAGAGAAGAAGAGGATGAGGATGAGGCAAAGGCTCAGGCGCAGGCACACGCGCGAATGTAGTTGTTGGTTGTGCTCACAAGAACATGTTGTCGTCATCTTGGCCCAGCATGACACAGATCAACATCACACTCATGCAGTTCAGTTAACGAAGCTTTAGTACAAAAGGTGAACCCTTCTGGGCGCATCGGGATTTTCTCAACTCTTAAGTTCCCCGAGGTGGAAGGAGGCACAGCAGAGGCCGCTCCGCAGGTGCCTATGCGACATAGTGCGACGACCTCTGAGATGTGCTTTCAGGAAAAGGTATCGTGTAAGGTATCCTGCCCTTGAAAGGAGTTTGGCCTCGAGATTCGACTCTTTCGGACTTAAAGATAGCTTCTCTGAACTTTAAACCTTCGCCACCCAAGAAGTTTCGGGTCAGATGTGCACATGCAACTTGTGCTCAATGCAATATCACCTGCCCAAGTGGCAGTATTTGCAAGCAGGCCGCAGCCCGATGCACCCTACATCAGCCCCAAGAGCTCGCATTCAAAACGGCCCCTAAACTTTCCTAAGCCCGAAGCTAAACTCCCCCAACCTGCTCGTTCCATTGTGAGAGGCCGGCCCCGTCACCACTGCGGAAGCGCCAGTGCTCCAGCAGCAGGTGCCCATGGACCCTTGGGAGCATTTCTGGCGTGTGGCGTTGTGGCCTTCTAGATGGGCCGGAATATTGCAAAAAAAGGTGAAGGGAATTAACTTCCACCCAGACGGTTCTGCAGTGTTCTGCGTTTGTGTCTGACCTTTAATGTATTTGAAGGTCGGATACATCTGTACAGGCTCAAAGGGCCAAATCAGAATTGATTCTTCCAAGCCCTTGTGAACGTGTTTGTGCGGAGGACATGGATGCCTCACAAGCTGCCTCTGCGCCCATGGACCTGTCTGCAGCCGTGCCACAGGTGACCGAGGGACGAGAGAGCCCAAATGACCACAGCACATTCCGTCTGCTCTGAAGAACCTCGCTGGGCACACCCTGAAGCCTGTCTTGCAAGGGCAAGGGCAGGCATGCTTAATTTCGGGTAGGGAGTTCTCTCGACTTTGCCGGAATTGACGTCGGCAAGCGTCATGAGCAGTTGCCCTTGAGCTGAACTGCCAGGCACAGGTTGAGGTTCCTCAGCCAGCAGAAGCGGCAGATGCAGGCCAGTGTCAGGATCTTGCAACGGTAGTTGGATCCAGAAATAGTTGCTCAAGCCTCTTTCATGGAAAGAAGCAGGCTTGGACATGCCATGTGTAGCAGCTAGCACCCTTTGTGTTTCGGAGCACATTGTCGAGAAATGCCGCGAACCAGGTGAAAAGGCCAATGACCGCGAAAAGCGCCGTAGCCGCAGCCGGAAGCGCAGCCGCAGTCGTAAGAGGAGAAATTCCGCGACGTTCAGAACTGCATGGACAGATGAGCAACCAGAGTTTTTGCCAGCCGCCTAGTTGACAGCCGATACCAGACTTGAACTCGGTTGCCTTCCCTGAATGGTTGCATTAGAAGAACGGGTACTGCCTCATAGCTCTTTTACAACATCTTGACAGCCCGGCGCTCTACGGACAGGAGTCGCAGCCGCCGCCCTCGCCGGACCAGGCCAGCTGAACCACCAGCCGAGGAGGCGCAAAAGTTCCAGAACACGCATGCGCACTACATGATCGCGGAGAGTAAATGTGGGTTTCGGGCAACGAACGTAGGACCCACTCCAGCACTGAAGGAAGTGTACTGCAAGTGTTTGCAGGTGGAGCTCACGACCAAGGAGCCCCTTGGCCATGTGCAAACCGAGAGGATGTTCCCCCGAGCACGCAAGTACACAGAGTTGGCAGGTCTAAACAGAAAGTCCATAGGCCAAGTCTTCACAAGAACCCTCTACCCACGTCCCGTGCCTAGAATGCGCAGTGCAACTGCTCAGATTTTGGGAACTCTGAGGGAAATCCTCATCCTGGACCCAGATGGCCAGCAGATTCCTCCGGTTGCGTACAACACGTTCGATGAATGCCCCTTCCCTTCGGAAGTGCTGGATGAGGTATGGCACCGGAGCACAGAGCTAGGGTCACTTGCAAGAGTCGGGTAGAGCTGTTGTACAGTGGTGCATATGTCATATTCGAGCACCTCGTGCCAATCCGCAAGCCATCAACTTTCTCGTGGCAGTAATTTTAACGCTACGCGACCCGCCTCGGCCGCAGCTTGCGCAGGGGTGCTTGTCCTGCTCGCTTGAGGCTCGATTGGAGTGGAACACTAACGTGAAGGTCGGTTGTTGGGGTGGGAAGGGGGGGGGGTGTGGGGGAGGTGGGGCGGGCAAGGGTGGGCCCCATACACCTACGACTCAATACCGGACTGAAGCCGGAACTTAATCGAAAGGGCGCAAGGAACTTGGACCCCGAAACCGAGCCGTGCAGGTGCGGAGATCTGGCTTTGTGAAGCCCAGTCCGCCACTTGCCTTGGAGCATCTTGTAGTCTCGTAGCCTGGACCGGCGGGGTTCATTGTCCAACGCATGTATCTTTGCAAAGAGCGGCTTTCCCAGGATCCAGATGTATTCCTGGCCTTTGGCAGTGCAGAGCAAGGACGAGCTTGAAAGAAGCGAATGGCATTGCTCTTGTGTGGTTGCTCCAGGATTAGCATGGACACACGACATTCTTCGTGGTGTGTGCCATGTCTTACCCATGTACATTCAAATATCATTTTTGACGGCCTGTTTGTAGCAGTTGCACAGCCAGGACATCATTGGCATCGCAACAACCGGAAGCGGGAAAACCGTGGCTTTCTTGTTTCCAGCATTCAAGCATCTTGGCAGATGAGCTGCCCTACCTGCATTACTTCACTATTGAGGCCAGCTTAAGTAGCAAAATTAGCAAGATGCAGGCACGTGGTGGCATCAACATAGTACGTTATGCTTCAGCAGTGCGGCATATCTTGTTATGCGGAAGCGTCCCCCCTCACATCTTGCCCTGCTCCGAGGTTCATCATCGAGACAAAAGCGAGTGCGAACGATCCCACTCTCCTCTGCTTGTCACCAACTCGAGAACTGGCAGTCCAGGTTGAGAACGAGGCTCACAAGTTTGGTGTCTAGTCTGACCTAGACCTAGACAGCCGCAGGCCTTCGGCTTCGAGCTTCAAGACAGTCATCCGAAAAAAATCAATGAAACACTCTGAAGGGGAGAAGAAGCCGAAATAAGCCGAAAACTAAGGTCGCGATGCTGGCATTGTGACTGTTTGCGTTTATGGGGGTGTTGGCAACAAGCGGGATCAAGGCAGAGACTTGGCCAAAGGGTGCCATGTTCTGGTTGGTACGCCTGGCCGACTCAATGACTTCGTTGAGGGAAAGGAGGTCTCCCTGAGTAACGTCTCAAAGTTGGTCGTTGACGAAGCCGATCGCATGCTTGACATGGGCTTTGAGCCCCAGATCCGCAAGGCAGTCAATGAGGTGAAATCGAAAATGGAAAGGCAGACGCTTTTCTTCACAGCAACTTGGAATACCAATGTGCAGAAGATTGCTGCCGACTTCCTCAACAAGCCTTTCCAGGCTTCCGCCTGACTGCAGTGGCACCGTAGCGACAGAAAGCTGTTCGGTGATTCGAGAGAACCCCCCTCCCCTTACCTCAAGAGCATGTAGGATGGACCACATCACCTCTGGGCATGTTTTGCTGCAGGTCAAGATCGGCAGCACGGAACACCTCAAAGCTTCGGACAGCATCAAGCAGATTGTGAAAATTGTTGACCCCGACAAGAAGGTCCGGCACCTCACAAAGCTGTTTCTGGAGTATGCCCCGCGGCGGACATTCGAGCAGAGTGTTTGTACATGAAGGTGGCCGTCGTGTTAGGGCTGAGACTGAGGACATCTCCGAGAAAGGCCGTGGCGAGAACCGTGCGATGATTTTCTGCAACACGAAGAAGACTCTTGGCTTTGGCCTCTGCACGCTGTTGATCTCCTCAGTGTTTGCTGCAATCACCTGGGACCAATGCTCTAGACATCTCTAGACTCAGCTACGATGTCGAGTTGTTTCGCCGCTCCCAACTCCAAGTAGTCCAAGGTCCCTGCAAAGCTGCATCGGTGATTTTGAAGCTGAGTAAGTCACGTCCCGGTCTTGCTGGGCGTGTTTTCAGCTTTTCATACATGGGCATTTCCCGTAGCAAGGTTTCTCGAGTATCCTAAACCCAAACCCTCCCCAAACAAAATCCAAAAAACGGTATGGAACCGCCCAACTTTGTTCAGCAGAGATTCCTAGTCACAGCCTTGGAGTCTCTAGCTTGGGCAAGCAGAGTTAGACTTACCATGGCGGCCTTGGTGGCTTCTTGCATGGATCGAAAGACTCATGAAACCTTGATTCTGGCACGTGTTGACCTGAGCCCTACAATTCGATCACGACAAGTGCGGGAAGCTCAAACGCGGAAGTGCCTGTGTAATTCCCCAGCATTCACCAACCGGAAAACGCAATTTGCACATGGTGTAAGTCTCAGTAAAAACCTGCAGGTTGAAGGGTTGTGCCCTCAACACTGAAGCACAGGACCTGCGAGCAGCTCGAGGATGGACTCAATCGCGCCAGGGTTCGCTGCGACTCAATTCATGGTGACAAGGAGACCCTGGACAGGCGACATGAGATATCTCACTGCCAGATGTGTTCGTTGTCTATGAGGTCCAATGAGACAGAGCGGTGTAGAGGGCTGATCGATACCTGCACCTTTGAACATCAGGTAGTGACAAGCAGTGGAACCGCACAAATCCTTCAAGCACAAGATCATGCAAGCAAGCGGCAAACGAGAGAGGTATGTCGGAGGGTAGATAGCTATAGCTAGGTGGCGGAGGGGAGCGAGCGATCGAGCAAACACGGCAGAGGTTAAGCTGCCTCTTATGAGCTTGAAGTCGCTGCAACACATCATTACACAGAACGGGCTGTTGACAGGAGCAAAAGGAGCGTGAGCGAGCTCTAAATGATCTCCGTGACGGTTATACGAAAATCATCTGCGCAACGGCCCCGAACCCAGCTTGTCACATCTCGTCTGCTGCAGAGAGGCCCACAGGTCAGTGAAGTGCACGGAAGTTGGCAGAGGGCTTGGGACGGTTTAGGGGCTTCGGCTTTGGTTTGGTTTGAACTGGTGGCTCATCTTGCAGCCGCACAGCCGCGATTCTCAGGACGTGGCCGCTCGAGGCTTGGATGTCAAGGGCGTAACCTTGGTGATCAACTACGACCCACCCAAGAACGCAGAGGACTATGTACACAGGATTGGCCGAACTGGACGTGCTGGGCATTCTGGCCGCTTGCCCTCCTAGATCAGAAGCAAGATGCGCAGCAGTTCGTGTCGTTTGCATCGTATATTGTAAACCTATCTGTTGCTTCTCAGGCACGGCCGTGACTTTCCTCACTGATCGAGATGATTTCCAAGCTCGTCAGATCCGCACTGTCATGCTCCGCAACAACCAGGAGGTCCCACGTGAGCTCCAGGCGCTTGTGGATGGCACCCTCCCGCGCCGCCGCCGCAGCCGCTCCCGCCGTCGCAGCAGATCACGGAGGCGCAGCCGATCCCGCAGGCGCAGCCGGTCCAAGCGCAGAAGCCGCGATCGGAGGAGCCGAGAGCGACGAAGCCGGGATAGGCGGAGCCGCGACCGCGGAGAGCGCGAACATCGAAGTCGAGACAGGCGCAGCCGAGACCGCCGAAGCCGAGAGAGGCCTCGCAAGAGAAGCGAGCCAAGGGATGCAAGATCTCGGTCAAGAGATGACAGAGCGCAGCCAGATGACAGCTTTGAGGAGCAGCGGCCTCCAGCTCAAAGTCCTCAAGCTTGGACGCCCCCGCAGCCAGCACAGTACCCTCCCCAAGCATACCCTTCTCCAGTCCAGCCACACATGCCAAATCATTACCCTGAGGCTGCCGCACCTCAGCCATATCCAGCGCACACGCCAGCACACGCAGCACAGGCACCACCTGCCCAACCCCAATACAGCTGGTTAAAAGCGCCGGAGCCAGCGGCTGCACCAGCCCCACACTATGCCACCCCTGCCACGCATTATGCGCCACCGCCCTCCGGGTATGCCGCCCCTGCGCCGCAATGGAGTGGCATGCCGCAGCATCCGCAACAGTCTGCACCGCAAGTGATCCCTCCTCCTCAGCACTATGGAACGGCACCCCAGGCCCAGCAAGTGCCACCCAGGCAGTACAGCTGGCTCCAGTAGCAGCTGGATGAGGTCAACAAAAGTCAACGACATAATGCTGGTTTCATGCACTTGTGTCGAAGTGCGATGCGGATTTTGAGTCGCGTGCTCAGCGTAACAGCGCTGTTAGGCTGCTTATGTAGCAAGCCAATTCATCTAGCGCGACGGAGAATGGAGCGACATTCCTGTCGAGGCAGCGAAAGAGTCGTCAGACGAGTGTAGAAGCTGATTTCTGGCACCTGATGTCCTCCAGTGTATTTTGTTTTTGGGGATGCCTGTTTCGGAGGTTAATGAAGGAATGCCGCCAGATGGTCATCCCAAGTCATCCCGTAGAAGTGGCCAGGGAGTTTCTGAAATTTGCCAACCGATGCATCAATTGATGGGTTTATTCTCAAGCTACTTTATATATAGACTCAAAAATGATTCATAGACTAATCATTGATCTTCTGAAAAAATCGAAAATGATTGATTTGGAATATGTAATCTCTTGTCTTCAATTCTTGATTTGAATTAGGATTAGATTTTTTCTTCGGATTTCTTTTTTCTTAATTCGGGATAATGGAATACGGATTTATCTCTTCTATTTCTTTTATCTTTCGTCCGGCTTGAATATTGATTATTTATTTTATAGGGAGACAAATTATTTTTCTAATTGATTCTGATTATTTTTTCTTGATCATTTGTGCCTTCAAATATCATCTATCATCATTTTTAGAAGATCGATTTGAAATTATCGAAATGAGATCTTCTTGAGGAATAGCCGGCAAATAATTCAATTAAATGAGGAATTTTCATGATTCAGAAAAAATTGAATGAATTTCAGGGATTCATTAGATGCCGGATCGAAATATACAATGAATTTCGATGATTTTATGGAATCTTCTCAAAAAAATCGAAATTCAATCACCAAATTCTCATGGTCAATTAATGTCTATTCTATCCAGAATATTTCTCGGTCATTTAGGTTAGGAATTTTGCCGACAGAAGGGGACACCAAGATCAAATTATCAATTGGTCGACAACGAGGATCGTCCGGGAGAAGATCAATATCTTCTAAGATAGGATTCAATCTAATATGGTATATATATATATATATCATATATATGATTATGGTTATGATGTCTAGAAGTTCTATAAGATCGGTAATCTGAAAATTTTATATATGAAGGAAATTATCGCAATTTTGGCCGCATTGATTCAAGAGAATTCTGGGATTTCAAT